TGATTTTAGAGGAATTGCTTTGAGTTTCTCTCCATTTAGTTTGATGTTAGCTGTTGGTTTACTGTATATTGCTTTTATTATATTCAGGTACGTTCCTGTTATCCCTGATCTCTCTAGGACCTTTATCATGAAGGGGTGCTGGATTTTGTCAAAGGCTTTTTCAGCATCTAGTGAGATGATCATGTGGTTTTCCTTTCGCAGATTGTTAATGTGGTGGATTACATTGATAGATTTTCTAATGTTGAACCATCCCTGCATTCCTGGAATGAAGCCTACTTGATCATGGTGGATGATTTTTCTGATGTGTTCTTGAATCCGGTTTGCAAGTATTTTATTGAGTATTTTTGCATCAATGTTCATGAGGGAAATTGGTCTATAGTTCTCTTTCTTAGTTGTGTCTTTGTGTGGCTTGGGTATCAAGGTAATTGTAGCCTCGTAGAAAGAGTTTGGCAGTGAGCCTCCTGCTTCTATTGTGTGGAATACTTTGACGAGTATTGGAATGAGCTCTTCTTTGAATTTCTGGTAGAATTCTGCACTGAAGCCATCTGGGCCTGGGCTTTTTTTGTTTGGGAGACTTTTGATGACTGCTTCTATTTCATTAGGGGTTATAGGTCTGTTTAGGTTATTTATCTGTTCTTGATTTAGTTTTGGCAAGTGAGATCTATCCAGGAAATTGTCCATTTCCTTTAAATTTTCAAATTTTGTGGAGTACAGATTTTCAAAATATGCCCTGATGATTCTCTGGATTTCCTCAGAGTCCGTTGTTATGTCCCCTTTTTCATCCCTGATTTTGTTAATTAGCATGTTCTCTCTCTGTCTTTGGTTAGTTTTGACAGAGGTTTGCTATTTGTTGATTTTCTCAAAGAACCAACTCTTTGTTTCATTGATTCTTCTCAGTGTTTTCCTGGTTTCTACTTGATTGATTTCAGCCCTCAATTTGATTATTTCCTGGCATCTGCTCCTCCTGGGGGAGTTTTCTTCTTTTTGTTCTAGAACATTCAGCTGTGCTATTAATTCTCTAGTATGACTGTTCTCCAGTTTTTTCATGTAGGCACTTAGTGCTATAAACTTTCCTCTAAGCACTGCTTTCAAAGTGTCCCATAAGTTTGTGTATGTTGTGTCTTCATTCTCATTGAAATCGAGGAAGTCTTTAATTTCTTTTTTTATTTGTTCCTTTACCCAGGGATGGTGCAATTGGGCATTGTTCAATCTCCATGAGTTTGCAGGGTTTCTGCGATTTGTGTTATTGTTGAATTCTAATGTTAATGCATGGTGGTCTGATAAGATGCAGGGGGTTTTTCCAATTTTTTTGTATCTGTGGAGATTTGCTATGTTTCCTATTATGTGGTCAATTTTAGAGAAGGTTCCATGTGGTGCTGAGAAGAAGGTATATCCCTTTGTATTTGGGTGGAATGTTCTATAGATGTCTGTTAAACCCAGTTGGGTCATAACTTCTATTAATTCTTTTGTTTCTTTGTTAAGTTTCTGTCTGGAGGTCCTGTCTAGCGGTGAGAGCGGAGTGTTGAAGTCTCCTACTATTAGTGTGTGAGATTTTATGTGCATTTTGAGCTTTAGTAATGTTTCTTTCACGAATGTAGGTGCCTTTGTATTTGGGGCGTAGATGTTTAAAATCGAGACTTCGTCTTGATGTATTTTTCCTTTGATGAATATGAAGTGCCCTTCTTCATCTCTTTTGATTGATTTTAATTTGAAGTCTAATTTGTTAGATATTAGGATTGCTACGCCCGCTTGTTTCTTGGGGCCGTTTGATTGGAAGATCTTTTCCCAGCCCTTTACTCTGAGATAACGTCTGTCTTTGGTGTTGAGATGTGTTTCTTGTATGCAGCAGAAGGAAGGGTTCTGTCTTCGTATCCATTCTGCTAGTCTGTGTCTTTTTATAGGTAAGTTGAGGCCATTGACATTGAGGGATATTAATGACCATTGATTGGTGATCCTTGTTTGCGCTTGATTTATTGTTAGTGAAGTTATTTTGTGTAGTTTCTCCTCCCTTTTTCTTTTAGTGTTTTGTAAAGTATGATTCTATATTGCCTGTGTCTTTGTGAATGTAGTTATCTTCCTTGGCTCTAGGTTTTCCTTCTAGCATTTTCTGTAGAGCTGGATTCATGGATACGTATTGTTTAAATCTGGCTTTGTCATGGAATATTTTGTTTTCTCCATCTATGGTAATTGAGAGCTTTGCTGGATATAGTAGTCTGGGCTGGCATCCTTGTTCCCTTAGCGTTTGTAGGACATCTGACCAGGATCTTCTGGCTTTCATCGTTTCCATTGAGAAGTCAGGTGTAATTCGGATAGGTCTGCCTTTATATGTTACTTGGCCTTTTTCTTTAGCTGCTCTTAATATTTTCTCTTTGCTCTGTAGGTTTGATGTTTTGATTATTATATGGCGAGGTGACTTCTTTTTCTGGTCAAGCCTATTTGGTGTTCTGTAAGATTCTTGTACTTTCATAGGCATATCTTTCTTTAGGTTAGGGAAGTTTTCTTCTATGATTTTGTTGAATATGTTTTCTGTACCTTTAAGTTGAAGTTCTTCACCTTCTTCTATACCTATTATTCTCAGGTTTGGCTTCTTCACGGTGTCCCATATTTCCTGAATATTTTGTGTTAAGGATTTGTTGGTTTTGAGATTTTCTTTGGTTGACGATGCTATGTCCTCTAATGAGTCTTCAACACCTGAGATTCTCTCTTCTATCTCTTGTATTCTATTGGTGATGCTTGCATCTGTAATTCCAGACCGTTTACCGAGCTTTTCTATTTCCAGCATCCCTTCATTCTGTGTTTTCTTTATCGTTTCTATTTCAGCTTTCAATCCTTCAACTGTTTGAGCTGTTTCCTTAATTTTCTTGGTTGTTTTTTCTTGGTGCTCTTTAGATTCTTTGAGAGATTTGTTTATTTCTTGAATTTTTCCCCCATTTCATGGATTTTTTTGTTTGTTTTTTCTTCTATTTCTTTAAGGGATTTCCTCGTTTCTTCTTTGAGGCTCTCCATCATCTTCATGAAATAACTTTTAAGGTCTGTCTCCTCTTCTTCATCTATGTAGTGCTTTTCAGGTCTTGCTGGTGTTGGATCCCTGGATTCTGGTGGGGTCGTGTTGGTGTTTCTATTGCTGAGTGATCTCTTATTCTGTCTTCTTCCCATCTCTTCTTCCAGTGGGTGCTGGTGGGGGCTTTCTGTTTCCACTGGTCTCCTTCCTTACTGCAGCTGAAGCTGAAGCTGGCCTCGCTGGGGTTGGGGTCTTGGAGGGGCTGATCTCTTTCCTGAAGCTGGGCTAGCTGGGTTGGTGTCTTGGAGGGGCTGATCTCTTTCCTGTGTGGGCGGCTCTTCTGAAGCTGGGCTCGCTGGGTTGGAGTCTTGGAGGGGCTGATCTCTTTCCTGTGTGGGCGGCTCTTCTGGAAGCCGGGAGCGGCCCCGAAGTTGGAGGGGATGGGTGATGGGCAGGTGGTCCCAGCCGGGGACCCAATCTCACCTGAAGCTGGGCTCGCTGGGTTGGGGTCTTGGAGGGGCCTGTGTGGGCGGTTCTTCTGAAAGCCGGGAGCGGCCCCGAAGATGGAGGGGGATGGGTGATGGGCAGGTGGTCCCAGCCAGAGACCCAATCTCACCTGAAGCTGGGCTCGCTGGGTTGGGGTCTTGGAGGGGCTGATCTCTTTCCTGTGTGGGCGGCTCTTCTGGAAGCCGGGAGCGGCCCCGAAGATGGAGGGGGATGGGTGATGGGCGGGTGGTCCCAGCCAGGGACCCAATCTCACCTGAAGCTGGGCTCGCTGCAATTTCTTGTTTTTCATGAGGATACCCCAAACCTACTCCCTCTGACCAAGTGGCTCTACACATTTTCTTCTAACACATAGCAACTGGAAGTTCACTTCAAATGCCCGAATCTACTTAGAAGAATTGTGAGACATCAGTCCTACCTGACATGAATATTGGAAGGTGTTTATATTACAACATTTATGTTCTTTTGGAATCTTGTGGAATACCTTGAACCTGCTCTGCATCATAAGGTACCCTGACACATTTTTTGAAAATGTATTCAGAACCTCTACTATCTCCCCCTAGATTAATTTAACAATGTAGTTCCCTACTAAAAATGACCCTATATATACTTGTCTTCATAAGAAATTAAGAGAGTCTGGGAAACAGGAAAGAACCTAAAAGATATGTATATATGCATAGTACCCAAGAGAAGAGGATGGACACAAGATCCTCTGAATGGATGGGGAACACGGCGAGGGGTGGGGGGAGTGGGACCTGGGAAGAATAGAGGGGGTAAAGAGGAAAGGAGTTGGTCATGGGGGAACAGGAAGTTGAGGGGGTGGGGGTAGAATAGGGGGAAAAGGGTATCATAGGATCGAAGACAGATCAGGCACCAGAGTGACCTCGAGTGATCTAAAGGTATAACATCAATTGGCAAGCTAAGCAATAGTGGAGGGACCACCTCGAATGCCCATTCCTGATAATGAACTTGATGTCTATAACCATCCGGGAGCCTTCATCCTGTGACTGATGGAAGCAGAGGCAAACACATAGCTAATCACTGAACTGAACCCAAGGAACCCAGTGACAGAGAGAGAGGAGTGATGAGCAAATTGGCAAAGAATGGGCTGGCAAAACCAGCAGAGACAGCTGATCTGAACAGGGGAGAGCTCTTGGACCCCAGACCGACAGTGGGGAGGCCAGCATGGGACTGATCTGGACCCCCCAAATGTGAGTGTCAGTGAGAAGGCCTGGGCAACCTATGGGGCCCTGAGCTGTGGATCAGTGTCTATCCCTGGTATACAAACTGTCTTCATGTGCCTATAGCACAAAGAGACATGCTCTCTCAGCCTGGACTCTTAGGGGAGTGCCTTGACCCTACCAAGAGTAAAATGACAGACTCTAGATATCCCCTATGTGGAAGGATTTGGCAATAGGGTGGGAGGGAGGGGGAAGGGGAGTGCGGGAAGAGGGGAGGGAGAGGGAACTGGGATTGACATGTAAAACAAGCTATTTAAAATTAAAATAAAAAATGGTAAAAAAAGAAATTAAGAGTCCTCTCAAAAGCACAATTTAGTCTCATAAATTCTGTAGCAAATAGACTTTGTCTAATATGGTGTCTTTTTAATTCAAGGAATAGTATTTTGCTGTATTTTATTTTAATACTGAATGAACTTCAGATGAAAGTTTTTTGAAAAGAAAATGCCTTTACTTGCCATCTGATTCAGGATCATCAGCTTGTTCCCACCTACTTCTGAAGATAAATTCATTCGTTCCACCAAAATTTATACTCAGATCACTCTATCCTATTGCACCAAGGCCCATGATTATCAAGGTTAGCTCAGACCTGACTTTCATTGTCTTATGGTAGAAAAGCTGGTTTGGACACCATCATTCATACATATGTTTAAACAGCTGAATATAAATGTTATTAAGTGTTCCTTCTGACAATGACATATCTGAACTTTTCCTATCTTTCATGCAGACATGAACCGTTCCTGAATTTTCTATTTATTCTGATGATCTTTCTCCTCTGACATCCGGATCCCAAGACCTCCCTCTCTGAGGATGCGAGGTATTGAGCCACTACATATGGGGATTCCAAACTGCCTCCTCCTATCATTCCTGTATATAGCAAACATTTTCAGTCTAATGGCACCCCTAATCACAACCATTTCCCAAGAAAATTCAGACCTTTATCATGTGTTGTTCTACATGTCAATCTCTATCCGAGGTTACCTTTTTTTTCTTCTCATCAAGGAGATCTCAGATGTTATCAGCCTGCTGTGACCAAAGGAGAAAAAGATATTATACTTCTCATCAAAATATCATTGTTCTGTTCTAATCTGTGGCACCAGAAACTAATGTGATCACCTAATGACTGGATCCCAAATCTAAAGCTTTCCATCAAGTTTTCAAATAAGGAACAATCCCATCATTTTAAACTCAGAGCAAAATATCCAAAAAGAACATTAAAGAGACAGTTATGCTGTGGACACAAACATTGTTGCCTAAACTCCCTAGGATGACAAGATAATATGGACATGACTTTGTTGTTGTTTTTAATATTGTTATATTCTACTAGATTCTGCATTTGTTTAAGTTTAGACAATAATTAGTTGAAAATTTTTGTTATTCATTTCCCACCATTAAATATCAGCAACCATATTGATAGATTTTAATTTTTAATGCAAATTGGAAACAATTGTTTTTTTATATTACAATCTCAGTTCACTCC